ACAAACACAAACAGCCACTGGACACAAGCTACCGATAGTTGATACCTGATCATGAATGCTCCATCACATCAAAATTAAAGTGGCTACACGTCCGTTCCACCACAACGGCACAACATAAGAATTGTCTTCACAGAATGAATGGTGATTGATAGTGTACAGGGTACTACGGCTGTCATCAATCATTCTTCCAACTTTGATCATTCATATCTTCCGTTAGCGAGAAGCTATCATGTAGCGGGTTCCGTTGGTCTGTTGAGATTTAGTTTCTCTATTTCATCGGATAATAATATTAATAGCATAACATTAGCTTTTTTAAATCACGACATTCATTGTTACTCTAGATCACGGCCTCTAGCGGCAACGGTGATATGAATATGGAACTAATTCAAATCACAGTTAATAGGACAGGAAGAGGCTCTTATAACTAGCCCAAGATTGTTGAATTCTATGGAAAATGACCAGAGTTACAGACGTTTAGAAAAAACATAATGTGACGTTCTTCCACTACTTGAATTTTTGAGATGGAACAAAGTGTGAAAAAAAAATAGGAATTCATCAAGGATTAAACTGCCTATATTTTCAGTTACTAATTACGGAGGAAATTTCAATTTTTGTTCTACTCAGAGCCATTACGCCACCTAGCGGTTATTTTAGAAACCTAATTATATTTTGCAGCTATTTTTTAGGGTCACTTTTCTTAAGATATATATATTTTTCAACCAGTTCTTAGTTGTTCACCCTGTATATAAAAAAAATACCTTACCAACTAACAATTTTTTATTCATTTACTCATCTACATAACATTTTGTAACAAAATACAGAATTAGTACATAATTCAAAAATATTTTCGAAAATTCTTCACCTAATTCACTGCAAACACCAACAGAAATCACAATTTCATAAAATAATCTACCAGGTGACACAGGGTATCGAGCCACCTCTGTAACTTATGCATTTGTAAACGAATTTTTTCTGTAATTTGCTACAGTTCCATAGGCAACCATTTCGGTTTTGATCACATTACAATCCGATATGGCGGACTTCCGGTTTATCTAGAGATGCAGGCAACTTTGTTTTTTCAAACATATTTCACATATTCGAGTTCAACAATAAGTGATACAAAAATTCTTTGTTTTGAGAAAATTATATTTCCCTGTTATGTGCGACTCATTGTGAATAGCCTTGACCACATCTCATTTATCCACAAGGTATAATAAAAAAAACATTTTTAATTTCAACAATTTCCAGAAAAATGACATTTTGAAAAGATTTTATTTGTTTCGACCTGTTGAACTCGAATTTGAAAAATATACAGGATGTTCCATATGAAAAAAACGAAGTTGCTGGCATTTCCAGGAAAATCGGAAGTCCGCCATATAGGATTGTATTGTGATCAAACTCGAAATGGTTGCTTATACAGGGTGTCCCATAAGTCATAGATCAAAAGAAGTGGGGTGGTAGAGGGTTATCAAATTGTTGATGGTTCAAAAGTCATTCAATTTTTTAAGAAGTAACACATGTCATAAAACTATTTCTGGAGAAAATTGTGGATGAAATTTGTAAAAGAAAAAATTACAAATGTGACATAGTTTAATTGTTATCAATTCTTTTTGTAGAAATGAAAAAAAAAACTATTGAACCATCAACAATTGGATAACCACATATATGGTTAGTTTCATTGGAAATGACCCCCCCTCCCTACCACCCCACTTCTTTCGATCCATTACTTATGAGATACCCTGTATAACTGTACCAAATTTCAGAAAAATCTGTTTACAAATACAGAAGTTACAGGGGTGACCCGATACCCTGTATCACCCGGTATGAGCACCCCCAGTTACTCTAAACTTCACCGCATCTGGCGGCACAAACTCCCTTATACATATTATTCTCCCCAACTATCATGACGATTCAAAAATCATATAATTAGATCACATCATATACTAACTCTCAAGTTTTCCGGTAACTTCTCCCTCACTCCATCTTCTGATATTGCTTCTGAAAAACACCCCCAATTATTATCATTCATGAGATTTTGATGAAAAAAATACTCACCAATTCCTCCTATCATTTTTTTTTCTATTCATATAACTGAGGATTCAAAACAATCCTTGCTTTTTTTATAAATAGTTTGAATGAAAAATCTGGGTGGAAGGAGGTATGCATTATCTTGAATAATATACCGGGTGGCTACGGAAGTATTGCCTACGGAATATCTCAGTTATTGTATGAAGTAGGTTTGTGAAATTTGGAGCGTCGATATAATGACATAAGAGCTAGAATTTGAGCATATTGACATGTCGAAGTTAACTTCCGGTCTGACCGGAAGTGACATTAACTTTCTTATTTTAAATGAAAACCCTATTTTTTTTCTTTTCGCTTTATTCAGCATTCAATTCCCTTCCTAATGACATATCACAAGTTGGTATCTAACCAGAAACTAGATTAGAAAAAAATTTCTATTGAAATTCACCGAGTAGGCCGTGGAAGCAAAATGAAAGCCAAAAATAGAAAAGTTGGCTATGGAAAAAATACGTCACTTGATAACAGTTGCTACTACTGTGATATTTTATTTTCATTCATCGGCGTTATAAAAAGCCGCCAAAAAAAATATTGGAAAAATTGGGAAAAAAACAATACTCTGTAGGTCCATAACTTAAATAGGAACATACAACTTTTTCTTGCCTGTACTATTCAGCATAACCATTCATTTCTAATGATATAATAGAAAGTCATTTTTTGAAATGAAATACCAAAAAATCCAATTATTATTCTTCAAATAACAAAAAAACAGATTCATCGAAAAAAAACCAATACCAACTTGTGATATGTCATTAGAAAGGGAATTGAATGCTGAATAAAGCGAAAAGAAAAAAAATAGGGTTTCCATTTAAAATAAGAAAGTTGATGTTACTTCCGGTCAGACCGGAAGTTAACTTCGACATGTCAATATGCTCAAATTCTAGCTCTTATGTCATTATATCGACGCTTCAAATTTCACAAGCCTACTTCATACAATAACTGAGATACTCCGTAGGCAATACTTCCGTAGCCACCCGGTATGTTCTCCATGGAACATTTTCCAAGTTCGGGAAAAAAAGTACCATAAAACGACTTGGAACGTTTTCGTCAGATTATTGGCCCTGAACCGTCGAATACGTTAATTGAGTGCATATAAAAATCATATTACTTTGGACCAAAAGGAATATATGGCAGACATCGACAAAATTCAACGCCTGGCCAATTTTATTGAACAAAATTCAAAGTTGATTTTTTAAGTCGCCCCACTCTGATATCAAGTATAAAATATCATTGTTTCAGATTACTGTCAATGGTTGTCACGGGAATTCATGTTAGCTGAACAGTCAATTGCAGAGAGACTATAATTCTGATAGTAAGATGTACCGACAAACTTTAAGGGATGGTAGAGGACATCAAAATAAACATTTTTGCTCGATAAACATAGGTCTGGAAACTCTTCCTTTCGAGATACAAAAAATGATCAAAAGTCATTAATAATAATTAATGATTAGTAAAAAAAAGTAATTGGAAGTTTTATTAGTTTTTCAATATTTCAATAAACGCATTGGTAAAATGTAAGGTATAATTTTGAAGCATTTAATTTTTTTTTTCATAGATGTAAGAGATATGGTTTTTTTTTCTTCAAAACGAAGGTAGATACGGAAAAATTCCAAGAGACAAAAAAGTTGCATTTCTAGTTGTTCATTAATAAAAATTTATCATGATCACAAAAAATCCACTGAGCGATATTTTTTTGCGCAAAAACTATCTGACATAGCCCGTGGGCACGCCCCTGAAATTATTGGGCAAATTCTAATAGCTCCAAAAGATACCTTATGAATTTATCAATAATCTGTGAGAATTTCATTGAATTCGACTAAATCGTTTTTACGATATTAATAAAAAATCGTTTTTTTTTTAAATTTCAACACCCTGTATCTAGAAAACGAAGAGTTTCCGGACTTATGTTTATCGAGCAAATATGTTTATTTTGATGTCCTCTACCATCACTTAAAGTTTGTCGGTATGTTTATGGGACACCCTGTATATTCCTAAATAACACCCTATATAGTGTGTATTCAATACCAGAAATCATCGTTCAACTGATGGATTCTCAGACTTGATTCAAGAGGTGTGACATACATACGCATACACACAGGGGGTTTCTAGCGGAAACAATATTACCACGAAATGTTAAGAAATTAAGGAACCAGGCACCCCCAAAAACATTCCAAGGATGCGTGACATCAGCGTTTTTTAATTCACCTACCAGGTCTGCAATGTCTTCAGCTGCATGGGTAGAATGCATTTCGGGGGGTAGAAGCCCCCTAAGTACTCTACTGTTTTCATTATTTTTTATATAATAAATGAATGGAAACAATCTCAAAAAATTATTTCAAGGTATTCCAGAGCCATATATTTCGAGATATATTTTCTCTAGAAATCACTGGAAAGGCCATTACTAAATCCAAGAAGTCCCTTAAGTACTCTACTGTTTCAATTATAATTATTATACTAATAATTGCAGAATAATAATAAATAATGGCCGCTACTATCCAATCAACAATGCATATCCGATCGTTCTGATTGGTTTGAAACAAATTCTTATACGTTCTTCAAACTGTCAATTCCTATTTCATATCACTCACGGTTGAGTCAAAAACAGTGATTTCTCATTTTTCTAGAAAGGCGATTAAAACTACTATGAGAATCATATAAGGCAAATCTTTAAAATTCACCTGTATTCTACAAACTGTAGTATTGTGTTGTGCTTTAGAAGAACGCATTGCTCTGCCTATTCGAATTTGATTAGACGATGGGATGTCACAATATTACTAATCATATTGTCATTATTACTGAATTCAAAAAAGCAACAACTGACGTTAACTATTGAAAATCAAGTAAACAGTGTATGAATAACTTGATAGTTGTAGATTTGAAGATACAGAATTAACAAACGATAGTTATAAGCATCTCACCTAGAAGCCATTCGTGGAAGTCTTCATCGAAACAACAATTTTTTATGGTGCCTACAACGCCCCCGCGTCTCACCAGCGAGTCCTTGTATACCGTGAACGGTAAAAGTCTTTGTATAACGCATTTATTCTTGTCGAGGATGTACTTTCTGGCTCTGTGGCTTTGCGAGAGATTGGAGAGGACCGGGCCTAGATAATGCAACTTCGATCCGTTTTTGTTGTATTGGTTCTTGGTGAATATGTTAATGATTTCGTCGAAAGTCCTTTCACTTTCTTCTATCACGTCAACCACCTGAAATTGAATAATGATGTTTTATTTTCCAAATACAGGCAAAAGCCTTTTTGAATTCAACAAATAGAAAGAAGCTCGAAGTCGACAGAAAAACAACTACTTTCCTGGCTATATGCCACGCAGAACATTGGATTACATCACCCGAACATTCCTTCCTAAACGCCGAGCTACGCCTTAGTGGTTCAGGAACGTGTGACTACCTGCAGACCGGTTTCGAGCTGTTGGCTCTCATCAGTACAGGGCTGTCCCATATAGCTTCTTGACCGCTATCTGGTGCGAACCTGACCCAACGTAAACGCATCTCAGCATTTATACCCCACGAGACGTTCAATGTCCGCGAAATGAAAACGCGAACGCCGAACGCCACCTGGCAAGGAAAGGAACACTCCAAAACAAGATCCCATTTTAGGTGAAATAGGAGAGGCTGGTTGCACGACTGGCGTATTTTCAAATAGGAAGAAGCCAAATACTCAAAAGTGGAATGCAATGGTCACAAATAGAGGGGTATAAATGCTGAGATGCCTTAACGTTGGGTCAGGTTCGCACCAGATAGCGGTCAAGAAGCTATATGGGACAGCCCTGTACTGAGTCACGCGTTTCTGAACCACTTAGGCGCAGCTCGGCGTTTAGGAAGGGAACAATTGCGATTTTATTCGTCTATACGAATAGGAAAAGTGGGTTTTCTCTCGTTATCTACCATTTTCGTTCATTTCATGAACTATTGTGGTAATGAATTTGAGTTACTCTCTATTTGTGATCATTGCATTCCACTTTGAGTATTCGGCTTCTTCCTAGTTGACTTTTTGAATTCTTTATTTATGATTTACACACCTATCCTATCACTTCAGATATTTTTCTTATTTTATTTGAATTATTTTAAGGTATCAAAATCACAAATGAAGTCAAAGTAGGTATCATTCAAACAAAGATTGGTATAACTGGCCGTATTTTTCTTGGAAAGTACTGTCAGTTTGAGTATTTTTTGCCGAATGCATTGTCTTTGGTCAGTTTCGATTATTATAATTAGGTTGTCTAAAGAAGAAAGAAAGTTGGTGCTGACTTTTGAGACATCTAGAATTCCCAAAATGAATTCCTAAAGAACACGACGGAAAATCGTGTGATTTCAACAATGTATTTTCCGCAGAAGAAATAAGGATAAATCACTCTTTTTGACTGCTCAAATTCATTTGAAAATGAGAGAGATTAGTTTCTGCATGCTCTTCATTATTATGAAAAACATTTTGTCGAATCTACGGCAATTTTGAATTATCTTTTATATTATCCTGTATGAGCCCCACGAGGAGTTCCTGTATCTATACAATCCACGACCACAAATTTCGACAATGACCGATGACGTGTTTCTCATTCGGAATATATAGCGATTTGCATTATTATCTTTAAAAATATTCTTGTTCATCCAGGAACAATAAAGCTATATTTTTTAGGGAGCATCTCTTTGCACCCACATCTCGTTGGGGCCACATTTCGTTGCAGCCACATCTCGTTGCAGCCACATCTCGTTGGAGCCACATTTCGTTAAGCCCACAGTCTCCGAACGTACCCGAACGATGCGCTGTTGCCACATATAATTCAAAAATCTCGATTATACTGAAAAGGTTATTGTGGCCCTAACGAGACACTCTCATCTTGATCAATCCACGTTTCTTTCAAGCTACATTTCGTTGCACCCACATCTCGTTGGGCCCATTTCTCGTTGGAGCTACATTTCGTTGCAGCTACATCTCGTTGCAGCCACATCTCGTTGGGCCCAGATTCGGCGACCCGGGTTCAATGCCTGAGACGGTCGGCATTTTTTTATTTTGTTTTCTCAAGTGATTTTCCGACAAATATAATTTTTAGGAAGAAGGTTCATTTAGGCCGAGTAAGGTTGGTTGGTTTAAAAAAGTAGTGTCCTTTTTTATGCAGAGGGATATTTTCCTTCCTGAAAAAAGTACTGTCTTTTTAGGAAGAAGGTTCATTCAAGCTGAGTAAGGTTAGATGGTTTTAAAAAAGGAGTCTTCTTTTTTATCCTTCCTCGCTGAAAAAAGTACTGTGGAGGCATTTACTGTGCTGTTGAGGCTGATAGTGATTCGCTATTTCAATGATATTATTTCAGGATCGGTCGTGAGCGAAGCTCATGGCCGGAAATTTTCTTTTAACTTGATTCTGCACCAATTAAGGGTATTGGTTATTTACCTGTGGCTCCAACGAGATGTGGCTGTATTAAAATGTGGCTTCAACGAAATGAGGCTCCAACGAGATGTGGGTGCAACGAAATGTGGCTTGAACGAGATGAAAGTATACCGCAATGTCTCGTTAGAGCCACAATATCTTTCTCAGTAAAATAAGGAACCTTGTGGCAACAGCGCAGCTTTTGGGTACATTCGGAAACTGTGGGCCCAACGAAATGTGGCTCCAAAGAGATGTGGCTGCAACGAGATGTGTCTGCAACGAAATGTGGCTCCAAAGAGATGTGGCTGCAACGAGATGTGTCTGCAACGAAATGTGGCTCCAAAGAGATGTGGCTGCAACGCGGCGCACTCATTTTTCATTGCATCTTGTATATCCATCATTGAGAATTAACTTCATATTTCTGAAACTACAATCTCATTTTTTTCGATTCCCTGATTTATAATAACAATAAATCATATTGGTAATGAATTAAAAGTAAAAAAAAATAAAAAGCTTTTATTTGAACGCTCTTAAAAGATAAAAATGAAATGTTTCTTTATAATTTCAACTATCAACTTATTACCTCATTATATCCATATGTGTCTATTTTGTCATATCAAAATGTTTTTATGTGAATTCTTTTCATTTTTACAACTACTATTGTTCTGCGAAAAGTGTATCGCAATATAAATTGGGTGGGTGGGTGTTTATATCCTATTTCTATTTTCCATCTACGACAATGATTGATTTGACAGAAAATCTAACCTCTTAAATCGTATCTGACAATCAGGCGCTGCTAGGGAAATCGAAAAGACAAAGAGCAGAATATATGTCTTATTCTTTCATTCACTCAAACCATTTTAATATAGAAAATAGAAAAGGAAAGAAGTTCAGCTGTGTCCGAACATTTATCTAACTAATATCACCCAGTGATTATAGTCTTGATGAATACATTATTGAGACATTTATAGGTGGTGCTCAAAGCCAGGAAAGGAGCTGAATAATATTTATCATTCCATATATTTTTTTTATTTCTGCCACTTTCAAGTTTCCAGAAATGACATCTCTTGCTTGTGATTGTTACTTTTATTTATTTTACCAGATTTTTAGGTATTTCCTTTCCTCCTTTCTATTTATAAAATGAAAATTTGAGTATCACTTCGCCCCCAAATATCACTGGGTTTGAAAATTTTTATATAAGAGCACCTAAAATAAAAATTCAGTGGATTATCAGTGACACCTTTTTTGAGAAAATATTATATTATATTCTTACTTTTACTTAGCTTTGAACGTTTTGGAAACGAATCTGTTCACGTTTTCAACATAAAAAATGGAAAACATTCTTCTGCTAGAATTTGATGTTTTATCCGAAATAATCCTCATAAATCATTGATTTGGCAGCGGTTCCAACAGAGGTCCTCAAAATGTGATGTCTTCAGTCTAATGTATGTACGCTGATTTCTTTTCCGCAGAAGAAATAAGAAAAATATACCACTTTTTCAACTACTTTTCTTACCTTCTCTATCAAGTGAGATGGTCTACTCATATTCGACAGAATCATGCAACAATGATCAGCTATGTAACTTTGCGGATCGAAAATGTACCGAAGCGTCTCTTTTACGATATTTTCTGGACTTTTCTGCAAAGGCGGACAGTCTTGCTTCATGTCCAAATTCAGAAGAGCAGCTGCCCCTTTCTCGTTTGCCGATATGTTTACCAAACACAAACTCGCGTCTTTTGATATGGGCACACTGTTGTCACCCATCAAGCTGATCAATGAAACTAGAAGTTGATGAGTGTCTGTCAGTGCTGCAACGCCATCTGCCGAGCCAGTTAATCCTGAGAAAGAAAATCACTTCCTTTTTAACACGCTTATACAGGGTGATTCAAAATTCAATGTAAATATTTTAAGGGCATATTGTTTGGATTGAAATAGGACTTTTTCTTCATTTGAACATGTGTCGTAAAATGCACTGTAATCTAGGTAAAAAAACAGATGATCTAAAATAGTGACTAAAATAACGGATCAAATCTTCTGAAAATTGGTATGTAAACCCAGTTTTGGGGGAGTTGGAGGAGGGTGCACACTTTTATTGATCCAAATTTTATGTTTGAAAAGTAAAACTTTGAACAAACATGATCTTGTGGGCCATAAAAAATGTGAGAATTCGGTTTCTTGCATTTTTTTCATACAACTGACCGTTTGCCAGAAAATCGTAATCAACGACAGAAAGGGGAAGTCACGACATCGTTCGGCTAACTACAAAAGCGTGTATTCAAGTGTTCTTATATTTTTGTAAGTAACCAATTTTGACGAAATAATCCTACCCAGAGAACCTCCAGATACGAATTTTGAATAGAATTGGATCATGGCCAGCGTAGCCTCGTGGTTGAAGCGTCAGTATTCTATCCACGTTGGATTGCCGGTAGATGGGTTCGATTCCAACCACGGCCGCAAACATTTTTCTGATGGCCTCAGAAAGTGTTTGGGATCACACTTTAAAAGGTAAGACCTCCGTCATTCCTTGCTCGCACAAGTCTCTTGAAGACCTTTGAGGGTTGCTCGTAAGGGGGCAACCGAATGATGGATAAGAACAACAACAACAACAATATTTTTACAAAACTCGTCCACCATATTCGATCCGCTATATTTAATTTTCCAATTTTGAAGAATGCATCACAATCTCCGACCCCCACAACCCCCAATTTTGAATAGCTTCGGATCACAATTACAGAACTCGCCCGCCATACTGGATCCGCACCATGAGTACACCAATTTTGACGAAAGAATCATATTCTCCGACCTCTAAAATCCCCAGATACCAATTTTGAATAGAATCGGATCATAATTACAAAACTCGTGCGCTATACAGTGTGTCCCACTTACCATGCTCACCATGGGTATCTTTTTAACGGTGAGAGATACGAGGTCGGTTAAATGACACCAAATGTGGAGTTTGTCAAGGCCAACTATAATGTGAAAAAATATGTTGATAAAATCTATTCGTTTTTGTTTTATACGCAAAAAACAGAATCGGACCAAATCTTGTCCGCCATCTTGGAGCAGCCATTTTTTTTAAATTTCAACAAAAATCCCAAAATGTATTGTAATGTATTCCATTCAAAATTGGTAAGTGGGGCCTTTTGAGGTCGGAGATCATGATTTTTTGTTAAAATTTATAAATTCAAGATGGCGGCTTCCAAATAATTTTTTGTTTTTGTATAAATGACGATAATTCCGTTGTTATCAACACAAAACTATTACTGCGACATATCTGTAAGAGAAAAAAGTTATTCGTAACTAAGTCATAGCTATGACCTACATTTGAAAAACTGAAGTTGGTGCTGATATCTCAAATTCTAGAAGAGTTGGTATATTACATTTTTGTTTTCAAAATCACTTTGAAAAACTGCCATGAGAATGTGAAATTCCTATTTGAATATTTTCATAAATAAAGAAGTTACGGAGGAGACATGAAAATGATCAAAATCTGTTTTTTGCATATAAAACAAAAACGGATTGATTTTATCAAAATATTTTTTCACATTATAGTTGGCCTTTACAAACTCCACATTTGGTGTCATTTAACCGACCTCGTATCTCTCACCGTTAAAAAGATACCCATGGTGAGCATGGTAAGTGGTACACACTGTATATTGAATCTGTGATCTGGAATTTTCAAATTTTGACGAAATAATCATAATCGCCGATGCCGAAAATCCCAGGATAAAATTTTTGAATAGATTCGGATTATGACTACAATACTCGTCCGCCATATTGGATCCGCCATCTGGAATTTTCAAATTTTTACTATTTTCTATTTGGGGTCCAAAAATTTTCGAAATCAAAATACTAGAGTGAAAAATCAAGAAAATAAATTAACGCATATTGGGAGTAGTGCGAGGAGTAGTGATTGTGGTGATTTGTGAGAGTTCTCTGAGATCAAGAGAATATATTTTATCTGGGAATGAAGGTATGAAATCTGTCTTACTCAAAAGAATCATAAAAATGTCTTCTAAATGTCTTCATCTTTCGTTTTTTGTCAATCTAATTTTATTCTTTGACAACTGTCAACAGTCATCCACACCATTCCTTGTAGTGGGACGGAATGAAAAGTAGCATAGGGAACCGGAATAGTTGCAAATAAAACGACACATTGAAGTGATTCCGGTGGCGGAATCGGATATAAATATTTGTGTTGTGATTTGACAGCATCACAAGATCGTGATCACAAGCTATTTTGCCAATTCTATCAGTTGTGGAAATATGTAGTATATTACAAAACTAGTGTGGAAAGTTGATCATATATTTATAGGAAGCAGAATTATATACCACTGAAATAGGATTTGTGTATTGAAATTTAAATAATGTCATTTTAATTCTGCTACTAAAAAAATAATTTGTGAAGTCATGGGCGTCACTTAATGGGGGCAGGGGGGGCAACTCAGAACCTTCCTGTAACCACATGATGATATACATCAGTATATTATTATTGCACCAGTACTAAGGATTGAAAAAACATATTATTTGAAAAAATTTGAAACATTAGTCAGTATAATAGTAGATATCATACATAAAATATACCTGAATATGGAAGCAGAAAAAACATTTTCATAAATATAAAAATTGGCATAACAAATTATCCACAATAGATTCATGAGTAACTTATTTGCTGTAATGAGTGATAGTTGATTTGGATGAGGTGCAAAAAATTGTGTGAATTAGGGAATCTATGAATTATTTTGCAAAATTGAGGAAAATGAATCAGTACCCATTGCTTTTGGTGAAAATTATTATCACCACTCAACCAATAGTTGGTATAATGAAACTATTATGACTATGAGAGAAAATCTCATGAAAAATTGAGAACATCCTCCTGCTGGGTTTACCTTAATTTTATATCAATTAAATCAAACTGAGAACAAGAAACAGAATGATTTCTATTATAACTTGATGGAGTTGTTCCACTATGAAAAAAATCTAATTTTCAATTTGAAAACATTTGACCTTGAACCCCAATGAAAATTGCGACTGTGATTAATTTATACATAGATCTAATTACACTTATACCATGCAATAATGTTATCTGAGTTTCTTGAACCCCTGGTGGTATACACTGAAAGGAAACGGAGTTTATAAGGCATTTGACCTTGAACCAAAAAAACGCCTGCGGTGCATTTTCGCCGTACAACTATTTTTTATAACTTTCTTGACCACCCCTGGCATTTACTGAAAAAGTGAAATGTCGCCCCTGTGTGGAGTGAATAATTGAAGTTACTGAAAGCATTTTAGAGCTTCAGTTGTATCCACAACAGATAATGAAAACAATTATTGAAAGCACTTTTCGGTCAATTAATAGACGAAAAAATTGATAAAATATTAGACCAACACTACTCACCCAACACATGTTCAACTGCTATGGCCTTTAAATCCAATCTAGCACCTATTTGAAGGAATTGTAACAATTCTTTGATGGCCTCAGACATGCTAATTCAGAAGCTCTATCGCATGACACAACTAAAAGAGTCATAAAACGAGGAAACAATCAGAAAACATTAAGGAAAATATTGAAAATAAATATTTTGAATTTTGCTGCTTATACATAACCATAGAAAATGGACCAGTGTGAACTTGGCGAATGAAGACAGCTGCTAGAATTTCCGGAGTTAACCAGAGGCGTTACAAAATAAAATTTTAGGGTGTGAACTTTGCAGATAATCAGCACTGAATTATTATAAATATCACTGGAATGCCTAATCTCATACAATCTATTCATCGATATACTCGACAGTTGCGCACACTACATCCAACATTCTGACATCCATTCCAACGTACGACTTTGCATCATCTTTGCACCAATGAACTCAATATAAACACCCACGACACGTGACCATCGCGGGTTAGATCAGGGGTGGATCCAGATTCCAGGCGATGTTTGAGGGGGGGGGCATAGGAAGTAACGGCTCATTGAGGATAGCAAAAACAATGAGGAGAATTTTCATTGGTACCTTCTGAAAATTATGTTTTTTTTTTCATATACAGGGTGTCCGGAAATTATGCGCAAAAAATCAAGATGGTGATACTACATAATGGAATAAGAAATTCTTTTTATATGTACGTGGGTCCGAAAATGCATAGTTCTCAACATACAGTGTGTTGAAACTTTTTAGAAAGATCGGTTTTTCATGCATGAATATCTCAAATATTCTTCTACCGATTTTCTTGAAATTTAGAAATGATATTTTTTGTCATGAGGGGCTGATATAGCCATAATTCAATTAGATTTATGAAATCCAGTGAAATCCCGAGGGGCAACCTACTGAATATTATTGTCAATAAAATGTGCGCCAAAATACAACATTTTGGTATCTTGAGTTGTTTGGATAATTTGCTTCATTTCCATGGAAAAAAATGAATATCAATTTATTGCATAAATTCGTGCCAAAAAATTCCTTCAAAAACTGAGGTGAAAATAAATGCGTGATCAATATCCATAGACATAGAATAAGTATATGAAGATTCATTTTCTTCAAATATTTCTTGATACATGTTTGACACACTCTACACTCTGTATATTGAGAACTATGTATATTCTCGGTCCAGGAAGGCGTAGTTTTCGATAATACAAAGTGTATCAAACATGTATTAAAAAATATTTGAAGAAATTTGATCCTCATTCTTATTCTACGCCTATACGGACATGGATCACACATTTAATTTCACCCGTTTTTGAAGCAGTTTTGCACAAATTTATACAATGAATTGCTATTCATATTTTTTTCACGGAAACGCAGCAAAATAGCAAAATAATTCAAGAGACCAAAATGTTATATTTTCAGTTAATCTGTGAGCGACTGATCTGTTTGTTGTCAAATACGGCATTGTTTTCATTTTTATTGTTAGAGATTCTTTCTGAATATATTGATGTATGGCTACCCAGATAACACAGGATATCCTATGGATATCCTTCTCAAGTCCATTTCAGGTCGGGATATCCTGGGACATGAAATGGATATCCATAGGATATCCGTCAGAGGATATCAAATGGATATTCTGATGCGGATCACCTATGGACGTCCATAAGATGTTCGTTTAGCGAACAAAAATTGTTAATTGAGAATGGTTCAAAACAATACGAATCATCACAAATATCACATGCAAATCACATGTTCATTAAAAATTCAAAGGTAGTTTTCCATCATATAACTATTGTTATGTAGGTATAATATGTTTATAGCCACAATTAAGATATCCGATGCAAATATGAATTCATATAAATAACAACACCACAGTTTGGTATATTATAATAAGTATTAATCATAATGACTTTTAGTGTGTCATATCTGAACGTTCTCCACTCTCAGAATTCCTGAATTCCACACCTAGTTATGGTTCTATTCTCATAATATGCGTTAAACTTTTAATAAGAAATATAGGTATAGAACAAGTTGATTTTGGAACAAAATTAGTAAAAATGAAAAATAACCTCTCAATTGACAAAAACATTAAAATAACAAATTATGCATTGAGACATTTTTAGAAAAAAAAAATGTTGATATTCCCTGACGTTACTGTTGAAATAAAAAAATATATTAGGACCTACTCATGATTATCTTATTGATCGTAATTTTATTTGCTTTTTCGTTCCAGAATCGGATCATTAATAGCAGAGCTATGGCTTTGAGTCGTTTTTAATCAGTCAGTCTGTATATAGATTTCTCAAAAACTTAATATTGGATGAACAAAAGTGGGTGCAGGATAACTATAAGGACATTTACTGGTATCCAGTATACCTACATCAGTATATATACACCGTGTCCCAGCTAAAATGTCCCCCCCTGTGAAAAATCAACCGTGCGATCGAATGACTTGAAATTGAGTCACCCAGTATATTTGATGATGCTCGATCGAAATATGCTATTGAATGAATCGTAGGTATACAGGGTCACACCAAAGTGCACCTAAACTTTCCTATTTGAATATAGGGACACCCAGTATATTTTTCCATTATCAAACGACTACGAAGATATGGCAAAAAATAAAACGAGTCATTAAAAAATTCAGATGATTAGTTGCTATCACCAAATATCGAGCAGTTGAGGTTTTAATTATTTTCTATTCATTCGATTTCAATCGTGTTATATTAATTAAATCTTATCATATAATTTTTTCATTGAATCGTTTCATTTTTTGCCATATCTTCGTAGTCGTTTGAAAAACTCCCATCAAATCCGACATTGCTGAATTTGTAATAATGAACTCTACTTGAATATGGAATAATATACTGGGTGCCCCTATTCAAATAGGAAAGTTTAGGTGCACTGCGGAATAACCCTGTATACCTACGATTTATTCAATAGCATATTTCGAGTGAGCATCATCAAATATACTGGGTGACTTAATTTCAAGTCATTCGATCGCACGGCTGATTTTTCACAGGGGGGGGGGACATTTTAGGTGGGACACGGTATATATAATATGATTTTTATGTCTATGAGTATACATACATTTTCACATATTCATGAAGTTCGGAGAGGTAGATCCAGGAGGCTCCTCCTGGATCCGCCCCTGGGTTAGATTGTTCTGAATAATTAGTCTCTTTCATCTCGAATAATTTTACAATATATTTTCTAGAAAATATGTTCTCTTAGGCCGAGTTGAGTTAGATTATATCATAATCAATTATATAATAAAGTAGCCTCTTTCCTTATACAAAAAGGATAGAAGCTAGGATGATGGATGTTGTCTGCCGCACCTGTCAGCAGGCACTCGTACCTCAATATAATTAGAAAGCATATGGGTGAGGCTTCCAAACCGCGCTACCGAAACACAATGAACTAAATATAAACACCCGAAACATGAGGTCAGAGTTGTAGAACTGATAAATATACTTCTTATTTTAATGTCATTCGGCCTTCTGCTATGATATCTTCGTCTCCGGTCAATGTAAGCATTGTAATTTTTTTCGAATATTTTCGATAAAACTGGCCATAGCTTTCAGGGCTATCCGGCAAAATTTTGTAATTTTTGTCTTTGACATCGATCTCATGTTTCAGTAGCACCAACTGCTGAGAGTGAAATTGTTAGCCATATATCTACTATTTTTATATGTAGCGCATCGCCTATACGATATCTCAACAAAAATGGGACCAAACGAATCTATAAGGACGCAAAGTGAAGAATGAAAACAGCCATATTGGTTTCAGAAGTTTCGTATCATTTATCCTTACGTCGGCATCAACGCCTATTGGTCGATAGTAACGTCAATTTCCATCAAGGGACCCTAGTTGGTCCCGCTTTGAGAAGAGCTATGCTTCATATATGAGTAGTAAATATATGTTGTTACCCCTCGGTATATAGAATTGTAGTCTCCTTCCATGCGAAAAGGGTATTATTTCCATCGTGTATTTCCCTATTTCCATCATTGGTCTGTGGCTTGGTCTGTGGCACCTGTCGGCAGGCACTCGTATCTACGTGAAGTGGGCTGCCAAAGCTGGCTGCCAGAATTTCCGAACTTTCCCGATCGACCAGTGGCACACGTTTCCCCCCTTTTTGGGTAGGGAATATCGAAATTCCTCAACTGCTTTTATTTGCGATGATGCGATGTATAAAGCACTGCACAGCTGCTTTTCGGCCTCGAATCATTCGGGTGCGTTTTTCATTCCAACTTTTTATCATGCGCATGAATCGAAGAAACCATCGAACTGTTGCAAAATTCCGCTGGAATGTTGATGGACATCCATCAAACTGTTGTAATAAAATGCGCACTTTTAAATCGCATTTCGAGAATCCAGCAGTTTGGAGGAGATTGACATGACAGTTGACACATTTCAGTGTTGTTTTTTGTTTTGATTTGATAGAAAACAATTAATATTGAGGATTTTTGAGATTCTTGAGAGATTTTAGAAGAAAGAGTCAGTGTTAATCAATAAAGTCGAATTAGCCTTTTCTGATTCTCAAGATACATGATGACTGACACACAACAAAATCCGTGTTTCCATCAATGTGTTGTATAAACCATTGTTCAATCCTTCCAGCATAAATTCCAACACTCCAACAGAACAATTGGTGACGTCACGACAAAAAACCGCATCTATCAGTGCGCACTTTCTTCGATGGAATGAAAAACACGCCCATTGAGTCTATAGAATAATCATTCCTTACCAAATTATAGGTATGAAAGACTATAAAATTTCAAAAATATTTTATTTTCGATACTTTGGCAAAAAACTGCTCAGCTGCTTTCGGGTCAGGTAGATCGGTAATCATGTGGAGAATCATGCTATCAGAAAACAATTCCTTGCCAAATCGTTTGGTAGGCTCCACACGAAAAAACTGAATTTTTCGAAAATATTCTTTTTTCGATAGGTACTTTTGCAAAACACTGCTTATAAGCTTATAAGCTATAGCTGCTTTTGGGTCAGGAAGATAAGTAATCATGAGTAGAATCATGCTATCAGAAAATAATTCCTTGCGGAATCGTATGGTAAACTCCACACGAATAAT